AATAAACTGACATCTCAAGCTCACTCCCCGGTATTCAGACCGGTGGGGACGGAAACCAGTCATCTTGGTGGGCCTCTTCGGCATGGCTCTCTCCTCCATATCGCTCGGCCTCTCCAGCTCGTTCGCCCAAATACTACTATTTCAGGCTATCTCAGGGGCTTTATCAGCTAGTGTGGCGTTTGTACACCCTCTTCTCTCCTAGGCGCTGGACGATGACATTTCACCCGATCTTGTCAGGGCACTCCGGTCGGCGATGGGAGAACTGGCTGACAAGAAAAATGAAGGGTTTGGTATGCCGTATTTCATACTTGGGGGCTTGGCTCATGTGTATTCGCAGTATTCGGGCTCATCAACGTCGTGTGGTGCGCGGGAATTGTTCTGGGATCATTGATTGGCGGTGAACTGTCCACTCCCATCGACCGGTTCCCCAGTTTGTTTGAGGGCATCGAGATTTTTAAATCGAAGGTCTTATCCTCATTTCCACCTTCTCAAGACGCCCTCCTAACGTTTCTCACTATAGCCATACCTGCTCCCGTGTGCAGTGTCCTTCTGCATTTCTGTGTCATGCATGGTTATAACACTCTTTTTCATGAAAGAGGTGTGTTCCGCAGCCGGATCCCAAGGCAGTAAGACTAGTTGGCTGATGTTACACTAGACTCTCATCGTGGATAACCCACCAGTATCACAGCCAACCGCGACAATACGTGACGCGGAAGGAGGACCTAACCGTGAATTCGTGGCAATGTTGCTAAGCCATCAAACGTTACGCCTATTGTTGGTCGGATTACTTTTGTCCTTCATGTCTACGGCATGCAGGTACTTGTTCACCCTGTGGGCTTATACGCCAATTCGACAGGGTGGTCTATCACGGGAGGTGCGAAGGTTTGCTGCCTTCGCTTCTGGTACTCATTTCTACCCCTGGATAGACGTTAGAGATAGGCTATATGCTGGCGGGAACCGACGTATTGGGTGTATTGTCCACATTATTTATTTTCCCTCCCCTCCAACGCCGCTTGTCCACATTACCCACTCTATTGGCCTTGTTGCAAGCTTGGCCTCTGTTGTTCCTCTCCATCCCAATCGTCACAGCAGTTGCGAGTTTCAGCGTTTCCCCTGATGACGAACACCCACCTTTGGGATTTGTATGGTTGGGAGTTGTCCTGGTGTGCGTCCTGGTGCGGGCGGGACGGTTGTCATTCCCGTAGGTGACCCGGTTATTGAGCGCAGTAGCGTTATTTAACAAGCAAATGCTCGTGATAGGGCATACTGGCTAATGGTAAAGGATTTAGCACCACAGCCGCACATGCTCGGTCGGATGTTCGGTGTTTCTCAGAGCGCCGCTGGCATTGCCGACGCCCTCTCTCCAGCACTTGCTTCGTGAGTCTTTCTTAGCCGTTTGTTGGGCGTGATATCTCTTATTACTCACCGACATGTCCTGGTTCTAGGTCTATATTCGCTGCATCAATATCGAGTCGGATACTCAACGGAGGATTGGTTTGGCTCTTCATGGGGGTGATCGCGATTCTCTGCACCGTCGTCTCGAAGGGTCTCCGTCGGTGTCATAGCACCGTTTGAGTTTCAAAAGACGCCTAGGCAGGCCGTAGAGAAGGCCTGCTTTAGCAGCTCATAGGAAGCGGGTTTTACTCGTATACCCTCATTCCCATACAGATAGAGACAACCTGAATACCAGTTATTGCTCGAAAGCGGGCTGACATTTCAGTCGCGCACGTGTCGTTGGCGGAGATCAAGTCGCCGAAAACCCGCTTCTCGGCGACTTCGAATTTTGACTGGAATCACACATCTCTCCTCTGACCGTTTGTCTCGTAACGAAGTAACGCTTGTCTCGCTGTTGCTTCACGACCTGACTTGAACACCACCGTAAGTCGATATACGAGTCAGTATCTCCTGATTTTTAACCCCTTTGTTTGCTAGCCGTCCCACCGCCTTCGAATGCCAGCTCCCGACCCAATTCAGGCCTACTATAAACTCAGTTTTCCGAATTTTGAATACTACTTACAGACACTCTCCGTGACTATTGGCCGTCGCCCTTACCCAACACAACCGCCTCCACCTGATCCCCCATTATCACCACACGGCGGAGCTCACACATCGAACGATGTTCCTCAAGATGACAAGGCGGAGGGCGGCGTTTCATGCGCCGACGAAAACTCTGGCTTAAATGCTGTCATCGTGTCCTCGGAGGAATTGGACGAGTCGAGTATGAATGTTCCAGGAACTTCGAAAGCACATGAACTAGCCAACACCAGCGATCTAAGGCAATCCCCTCATCCATCCACCTCTTCAGGCCGTCGATCTCGTCGCTCGCACTCTTCCAGTGCGTTCCCTCATGTTGATGTTGACCTGGGGCCGTTGAAGAGCGTCTCACGCCTTCATGCACGCATTGATTACGACGACAGTATCGATAAGTTCGTCCTATACGTGAACGGAAGGAACGGGGCATGGGTAGATGATCAATGGGTAGGATGTGGTGGCCGTGTGGCCCTTGGTGTGAGGTGAGATCACCATTGTCCTTTCTTGGCGCATGCTAAAGGATCTTCATTCTCATAGGACAAAGATACAGATATCCACTCGAACGTTCTTCTTTGTGCTTCCTCCTCCTCCCGTTGCCCCGCCGCCACTGTCGCCAGAAACTACCCCAGGCGTGGAGCCTGAACAAACGTCAGCTGAAGACCATGCATCACCACCCTCTCCGCCCAGGTCAAGACGGCGTTCCCGCAACCGTTCAGCTTCCCGTTCAATTTCTCCGCCAAAAGCTAAACGCCGACGCCTTTCTCCTGATGCATCGTCCTCTCAACCACCATCCTCCCCTGTTGTCGATAAATCTTCACCCTCCTTTCCGGTGTCCGACACTCGACACGGTCAAGCCTCTTCCAAAGCCTCTTCATCGCGAAACCATCCTCCTAGAGTACCGACGCATCATCTACCATATCCCCCCGATGATGTTGGTTCTGATGACGAGCAACTTGTTTCTATTAACGACCTCGAAGAGGATGAACTGGATGAGCTGCGGGCGATTCCCATAGATCCTCCATCGGACGGCGAACAAGTAACGGAGAAGGGGAAAGTGAAGGGTATGAACAAAGTCAGGAAACCCAGGACGTCAGTCATGAAGGGTCCGCTGCTACCAAGCGATCCATCAACATCATCTCCTGCGCCTCAAACATCCCTCCTTCCCATTAGGCCTCTACCCGCCAGAGCCCCGAAGGGCATACCCGCCCCAACACCAGACCCATCTAAACCCCGACAACCGAAGAAGTACATGACCCAACGGGTGATCGCGAAAGCCCAGTTAATGCAGATGCCTCGTCCACCTCCGGATAAGATGCCTCCTAAACCTCCGTTCACGTACGCCATTCTCTGCTTCCGGGCAATTCAGGAGCTCGGTGGGAAGGCCAGCCTAAGCGAGATTGTCAACTGGATCCGAGACAAGTATGAATGGTATCGGTGGAATGATGAATGCGGGTGGGAGGTGAGAGTGTAGTTCACACTATGCACGTCTCACACTAACGGAATTTGACGCCGTAATAGTCCTCAGTGCGCCACAATCTCTCCTCTAATCCTGGATTTGTGAAATCTCGCCGTGACGCAGAGGTCGAGCGAATAGTCATCACAACAGGCCAACAGAAAAAGATCAAGGGCTTCTTCTGGAGCGTAGATCCCAAAGCCATGGAATCATTCCAAGAGAAGGAGAAAGAGATAATTGAAGCGGGGTCCCGTGCAAAGGCTCAGCAAAAGGCTAAGGGTAAGGAGGATGCACCAAGTGGCATAGGAAATGGTTGTGGACCAGATATCATGTCCAAAGGGGTCGGTCATACGCCTGCGTCTGCCAGACCGGCGGTACCAGTACCTATGATGGCCCCTCGCGGGATTCCTGGACAGCCACCTCCACCCCCTGTTGGAATGAGCCTGAACCCTCAGGTCCACCTCCCCGCACCGCACATGATACCTCCAATGATGGCTGCACCATCCGCCCTACCGATACCTACGCCAACAACCACCGCCTCCCTGACAACTCCGTCCGCCGCAAAATTGCCCATAACGCCCCAAGTTCCGTCGCCCTCTTTGCCCCAGGCCCTACCCGATGTCTGCTTATCCATCACCGTGGGGCCACCTCCGCCCGGGGCGAATGTGGACACTTTCTCTTCACCGTATGTTGACGGTCCCCCGATTACTTTACACAATGGCGCTCTTTTTCTTAATCCGACCATTTTCGCTGGTCTTTCAAAAGAGCAGTTGGAAGAGCTTCAAAAGCTCAAGGCGGAGAAGGCTCTGGAAATCTTGACAGGGTACACGAAGAACTACGTCAAAGAGCAGATCGTGAAGAAGGGCAAGGCGAAAGCGAAAGCCAAGGCGGCCAGTAAACAGAAATCTGCGAGCTCGGGTGATGGAGGCAGTGTCTCCGATAAAGCGCAGCCTGCTACGACGACTGACGCGGCTTCAGGAGAGTCTGGTTCATCCTCGATGCCTACTTCATCACCAGCTGCCTCCAGTACCGAAGTGGACACCGCTTCTATCCTGGCTGTTGCCACACTTGCGGCCGCATCATCCGGCCCTTCAGCGCCTGCACCTCTTGCTCAATCTGCTTCGGTGCACCACCCTCCCGCTCTACCACCGCCATATGCGTACTACCCGTTTGGATACCAAGGGGGTTGGGCTTACCCATCAGGACCGAATCTCCCACTTTCTCCCGTTGTCCACTTTCCACCGAGTCATCCACCTTCCGGTCATGCGTACATCCCTTTCCAGATGCAAGGTGCTCCCAAGTCTACTATCCTTCCTCAAATGCCACGGGCCGACAATGTCGTGGATACAGGTGTGAAATCCGAGGTTGCATCGACGACAACGGATGGGTAGGCCCTAGTTTCGTCATGTAGTACTTGCTCTCGGGCGTGTGTATGATGTTAGGGATGTATGATAAGTTGGGCCTTATTGGATGGGTGTATTCGGGACGTATGATCTGCGGTGAGCAGACGTATATCGGGTATGTAGCGCAGTGGTAGCGCGCCTCATTTGCAATCAGGCAAGCACCTGCAGGATCTTGAGGAGGTCCCAGTTTCGATCACTGGCATATCCATTTTTGCTCGCCGGAATGGTAAGGCATAGTTTTACAGGGGGCGGCCGCATGCGGGAATCTGAGTGTGTACCCTTCATGCTTCGGGCACCTGTGTGACCTATATTCACACACTAAGTAGAGCAGGTCTCTTGCATGTTGGTGGTTGATATTCTGCCTCATCATCCTACTTGTGTTTGGACTTCTTTTTCATTCAAGGTTAATGGTTTTGATCAATGGGATCAATGTCACTAGTAGCAAACTCTCAATAGGCAGCAAGCACCTTCCTGGCATGAATACTTGTGGAGCTCCTCTATGTTGAATCTGCAGTCCTGATATGCAGAGAATAGCTAATCTTGCCAGCCCACATTGTCACAGAACGGCTAAGTGTCTCCGGCAACACCTACTTGGCGACGGCAGGCAAGTTCTTGGTCGAGCTCAGTGGCAAAGTCACAGAGGAGGTCACAGGTGGCCTCAACAGTGTGCGTGTGAAGTTGGGTGTCAGACGACACTGTTAGACAGTTACCCTTGTGTCCCTTTCCCCCTACTCAACCATTATGGACACCAAACATATTTGATACAGCAATAGAAGATGGTCTTGACCCTGACCAACCATTCAGTGCCTTTGCGCCCAAAGGCAAGGAAGCAGCAAATGAGATATTGCAACAGACACCCAGACACTCTACACTAGATCTTGAGGAGATAGAATATTCCCACGGTTGGGATCTGAGGTTTGATGCGGAACTTCTACACATGCTTGAGCTTGATGCACAGATAGAATCTCCCACGTGTCCAATGCACAACTTAGGAAATAGGAATAGGAGAACACAACAAGATAAGTGACAAAGCCAAGCAACAGAGGATCAGTAAGCACAGAGG